ACGTCCTTTTGGACGATGAACGCTACACCATTCCTCTTGGATTTGTCATTACCACCACAGTACACCCTATGATTATCTGATTCAAAGTGGCCGACACCAGATCTATCTGTGTTCCAGTTCATTTTTGATGAATTCCAATTTTCCTAGCTTCATACTTCATACATTCCAAGTTCCAGTTATCAATGGGTATTTACCACAGTTTCTTCTCATTTTCAGTTGTGCTCCGTGAGCAAACGAAGGTCTCCAAAGTTCTGCTGCCTCCGATGTCGTGACCGTGGACTCTACCTTGAGAAGGCAGCTCTTCCTCAGTCGTATTCTGAGCCCTCCAGCCTGACGGCTCGTCTTCCGGCACTGGAGCTGACAACGTTCCACTGCTGTGCATAAGGTTGTCAGGGGCTAATTCCTCCTGCGTGGACGGCCTATTCTTTCCTCATACTCTGTTTTCAGTCCGGAAGCTCTGCTGAAACCCTTCCCCTCGGGTGACCCTGCTGGTATTTGACATCCCAGCGACAGAGCTTCCAGCATCACAGCCACATGTAAGCCCCCCCAGCACGGCAAACGGTCAGACAAGTGGTAAGGCCAAGGACAGAGTCATATTGTTGTGTCTGCTTGCTCAGACGGTTATCCTAGAACCTGGGTTAGACGAGGTATCTCAGACCTGAGTGAAGCATCTGTGTGTGACTCCCCAGGGTGTAAGTTCAAAAGTAAACCGTCTTTATTCTGATTTCAAATGGGACACAGTCACGACCGCTGTGTTGCTGTCAACTTCCTCTCAGGTTGAACCTTCTTAAAATTAAACTTCTCTTTTTCTTTCTAACTTGGAGTTAGGGAATTGGCTCTACTTCTCCAGGGTACAATCCTTATAAGCAGCAATGGCCGGCCTTCTTCCCGAAACTGAGAAGGCGTTATCCAGCCACTGGGATTTCCATGTTTTTCATGTTTTGTTGAACGCGAACGGGAAGAAACTTGAATGTACAATTAATCTGCTCACTCTCTCATAACACTGATAACATGTGTTTGGTGCCTGCCACATACCACACAGAGCCCAAAGCTTTGCTATGTTTAATTCTCACAACAACCCTGTGGGGTGAATATTATTAACCACAGTTCTATGAGGAAACCAAGGTCGAAACCAAAAATCAAATGAACAAAACATCCCTCACTGCCATCAAGTTGATTCTGACATAGGAACCCTATAAGACAGGTTAGGATTGCCCCTGTGGGTTTTGGGGACTTTTAGGGTTAAAAAAAAAAAAAAGCCTTGTCTTTCTCCAGGTTGAAAGTAGTAGGTCATTTGCCTAACGTCACCAGTAATGGGATTTCAATCCCATTAATTAAGCCTATTAATAAGAGACTTCAATCCCTTCAAATTCTTTTTGAATTGTTAGTATTCAGATGCCAGGGTTGCGCCATAAACCTGCAAGAGCACAGGGGCCAACATACGGTCGGTGGTCTCCCCACACGAGAACAAGGGAGCACTTTGCTCATGTAAAGGTGACGCTCCTGAAAACCCGATGGGGCAGTTCTCCGGGGCCCTATAGGGCTGCTGTAAGTCAACAGCATACAAGACCACCACCAGCATAGACCCAAGGACCCCTGGTGGCACGGTGGTTAAAGCGCTGGGCTGATACAGTTCAATCTGCCGCTACTCCGTGGGAGAAATCAGTGGCCACCTGCCTCAGTCAATAGACACCCTTGGAGACCCACTGGGTCAGTTCTACTCTGCCGCCCTAGAGGGTCGCTCAGAGCTAAAATCCATGGGGTGGGGTTTTGTCACCCACCCACTAAATCAGAATTCCTGAAGGTGAGGAGAGGGAATTGCCATTTGTAAAGAGTCTCAAGGGACTATCATTTGCATTGAAGCAGATGCTTTAATATCAGGTGCTCCTGCACAAGCTAAATCTCATTATATTTATTGTCCAATCCTTTGACAAGCACAGATAATGTGTCTGAATTGGAAATTGTTTTCCCCATAAAGCACGTGGGAATCAATGTGAGCCTGCCACCGTGGCCGCTCAAGATCAATACAGACACACGTTTCTGCCGGAATAATGCAGCCTGTGACTGAAGTTCGCCAACAAATCGCCTTGTAAAGTGGTCTTGTATACTGCTCGCACTTTACAATCACCTGGGAAATGTTAAGACTGTTGATAGCTGGGTCCAGTCCACAGTTATTCTAATGGGTTTAAATATCAAGATTTTTGTTTACATTCCCCAGAGAATTCTAAAATCCAGCCAAAGTAGAGAAGGGTCGTTGAAGTAGCAGTAACTAGCTCATAAACAGAACACTTCCCCCCTTGGAAGTCTAACTGTTGTGAAATTGTTCCTTGTGACAAAACTCTGTAAAGTGTAATCCCAGGACCAGCTGCATCGGCGTCCCCTGGAAACCTCTTAGAAATGCACATTCAACAGCCTCACCCTAGACCTGCCCTGGGTGGTAGCTCTGAAGTCAATTTAGACTTATAAGGACCCATGTGACAGAGCCTAATGGTCCCCATAGGCCTTGCTAGCTGTAGGATGTGGCAGTGTGCTTCTCGGAAGATTACAGCCTTGGAAACCCTCTGGGGCAGATCTCCGTGGCCTCCTGGCCTCCGAGGGCAGCGGGGCGCCAGAGCAAGACCCTGACAAGGGGTCTGGTTCTCGCTTTGGGAAGCCTGGTGGGAGCAGGTCAGTCAAGCACTTCACGGCTATTCAACAGGGCTCCTTCCACGCTCAACAGACTGAATCCAAAACCCATGGGGCGAGGCCCAACATCCTATTCTGATAAGCCCCCCAGGAGATTCAATGCAGGAGAGATTTATCGCAGCTAACCCAAAAGCTATTATCTTTTGAGAAGATTGCTTGAATCACAAGCAATGAAACTATATATTCCGGATTGTTTGGGCACAGCCAGCTCCACTGGGTCCCACAGACAAAACAATGGCCAGGGAGTGGATTCTGATCCTGGCGATCCCATGTGGACTCCAGAGAGATCTCAATGGCTGGCCTTTCATAAGTAGATTGCCAGGCTTTCTCCCAAAGGGCTTCTGGGCCGACTTGCACGGCCCATCTTTTGGTTAGCCATTTGTTCCCACGTGGTCTCTGTCGCAGAGGTAACCAAGGCTTGCACTTGTATTTCCCTAGGTTTCTTTCCAGCTCCTTCTTTGCCAGGTTCTGTTTTGCACAGGGAGGAGGTATTTGTCTTCCAATTTACTCTGTTGACTCTTCCCACCCCCCTCCAGTTGCTGCCAACATCGACCTGACCTGGTTAGTAACCAACCCGTGCTGAAATCTTTGAATGCTATTTTGTGGAGGAAGGAAGAGGGCTTCGTGTTTGTTCTGTAAATATCTTCTGGGAGGATTCACGTGTTAAATGGTAGATATCGGTTTGGGGTTGCATGGATTCAAATGCCTAATGTCCCTAACAGGTTTCCTGTTCCTCAATGCAAACCAAGTGGACAGAGCTCACCATGGCCATTGTCCCATTCCCAGTGAACAAGCGTGTGGCTTGCGGGGCCAGATATGATTTGGGGCCGGTGGCCATTGAATTCATTCCAGCACATAGCAACCCAATAGATCAGAGGAGAGCTGCTAAGAGGGGTTCCGAGGCTGTAGTCTTGATCGAAAACTGGCAGCCACATCTTTCTCCTGAAGAGCAGCTGGTGGTTTTGAACTGCCACTATTTGGGCTAGAGCCAAGCCACTTCTTTGCCACCAGGGCTCCTTTTGTCCCAGCGTAGGCCAGGCTTCTAACTATGAAATATTCACAGAAGATATACGATTTCCTTTATGTTTTTCAGTGGGTTCAGCATTGGGCTGCTAACCATAGGGTTATTGTTTCAAACCTACCAGTTACTTCCCTGGAGGAAGACGAGGCTCTCGGTACCCCTGAAGACATATAGCCTCGGAAGCCCCCTGGAGCAGCTCCACTCTGTCCTACAGGGTCTCGCTGAGTCCGAATGGACAGGAGCAGGGCTGCGGGTGGAACTTCTTCTGTGCTGCAAACCTTTGGGCTCTGGAACTATGATTAGCCATGAGCTCCTGATCACTCTTAACTTACCAGGAAGCAATCTCTCCTGCTCCCAGACTGAGAGAGAAGCTAGGCTAGGGGAAGGGTGGGGGAGTGGGAGGGTAAGGAGAGGAGACTAATCTTCTGAGTGTTTGACACGTGCTTCTCAAATACAGTTTCCTGCCAGGCTAAACAGATGCATCATTTTCATCCCTAATTTCATGAGGGAACATTTGATAAACTAAACCACAAAGCTAATGCTACTTGAGGTGGTAAATGTTTTAAACAGCATTCACTTCCATTCGAAATGACACCTGCCTCCCTCGCCACCACCCTCCAGGCCCCGGACTCTGCACCCTGCTCCCCAAGGGCAGAATGAAAGAAGAGGAGCCCCTCCCATGGGATCGCTCTTTGGCAACCTGGCACCATGGGGTGTCTACACCTCAGACAAAACTGAGGGGCTCTTTCATGAACACCCCCGCTGTCCCAGGCCTAAAGGGTCGCCCCCGGGCCCGCTAAGCAGCACGCCTCTCCTGGCAGCAGAAGGCCTGCCACAAGTTGATGGAACGGCAGTGTCCGCAACAGCTCCCTTGGGAGATGCAGCAAACAGATGCCCATCAGAGACAGAGCTGGGAGAGAGGTACCCAACTACTGCAGGCTGAGCAGAGAATGCCACTGCCATGCTCAGCCCCGAGCTTCTGAGGAAGCTATTCCCCACCCCCCACCCCGGGAATAAGTCTCCCAAAGCTCCTGTGAGTCAGGAAGCTTAGTGAGACATGAATTCCAATGAACAAGGAATCATTGTTAGTTCCAGTATGTCCCAGATCTGACACCAGGCACACTTATACCGACAGATGCCCACTGTCTAGCTGAAGTTCAAATGTGCCTGAACATGCCCCACCGTCATGTGCTAAGCCTGTGGGCCTACCCCAGAGGGGATCCACAGGAGACTGTTGTAATTGCTTGGTCCATGACAGTGACAGTTTTTACCGAAATTGAACCCACACACTCACCGTATCGGCACCTGTACTGACACACTCCATTCTTTCCCCCCAGGAGCTCCAGGAAGGAATCGAAGTAGCTGTTGACAGACTCAAAGCTGCCGCGGAGGTGCCGCAGGCCCCAGTCTGCGTAGGACTCCTCTGCGTCACGGCTGGTGCTGCTCTGAGCCAGGCCACCCCCCAGGCAGAGCCACAGTGTCAAACAACCCACGGGCAGCTTCATCCTGTGGGCCAGGGAGCTCCTGAGGTCTCTCTTCAAGCCCAGCCAGTGTCCCGGGAAGTCCAGGTAACAACCCACCAGGTCAGATGTCAGACAGGACTGGGAAAGGGATTATCGGGAGCTCTCAACCTGTGTGCTCCTCCAGGTGGACTTTAAACATAGCGATGGAGGTCAGGATGAGATCAGGGCAATTAGAACGGGTGCAAAGGTTAGGCAGTGGGAGGGCCTGTCCGAAGGATGGTCAGGGACAGAGAACATTTCAAAGCAGATTCCACAGCCCTGGAGGAGGGAGATGTGGAGCGGCTTGGGTGACGCTCGGGGGCTACAACTGGGATTTCTATCTCTGACCAGTTTCTTAATCTATTGAACAGCTCCAAACCTGGTTCTTCAGGGCCAGCTCCTGCACACAGAGCATTTGTCCCAGGGTCCTGGGTCCACTGGTTCCTAAGCCTGCCACCCCCAGGTGGTCTCTGAAGAGTTTCAGGGGCGTATTGACACCTGCTCTTCACTTATCAATGAGCTCAGTATCTGACCCGTT